TATATATATATATATATATCGATAGATAGATAGATAGATAGATAGATAGATAGATAGATAGATAGATAGATAGATAGATATGATAATTGATTTAATTGCATATATTTTTTCCAAGGTAACCCTATCCACATACAGTCCAAGGCGCAGAAGATGTGATCTCTGATTACCTTGTGTTATCCTGCTGTGCTGTACACTGATTTGGTTATTCCACCCAGATCACACGGGTGCAAATCACAGAGACCATCTACTTAAACAAACTGACCCATCAGAACTTTGTCTCACTTTTCAGGACCGTGTGAAAGTGTTTAAGAGAAATAACAAGTCACCCTGAAGTGATAGGGAGGAGGTGAAAGTTCATTATCGTTTAATGTGAATTTAAGGGCTTGCCACTCTAGGTAATAGATAGCTCTCCTGGAACTGGTGACAGTCCGCTATCTCTTGGGAGCATCTAGGATTGGGCATGCAGAAACGATCAGCAGTCCCATACATCTGACCTACATGGATCCTGTCATGGCATTTCAATTAACACTGCTGTCACTGCTACTAGCTAGGTCTGTGCATTGGGACGGATTTACTAAAGGAGTGGAGGATGTTCAATTAAGGAAGCGAAAGTTCCTAGTGAAAAAGGCAATGTCCTATTCAAATAAAATACCCATGTGCAGGGGAAAAATAAAAAAAAATATTGTTTTACTTGCACATGATTGTAGTGAGCATTCGCTTTGCAAACAGTCTATTCTCTTTCAGTGAATCAGTCCCAATGCAACTTACAATTATATAGTACAGATTAATGTTAGGATATAGTAACAGATGTGTGTATATATTAGTCTCATTGTCTGTATATATATATATAATAAATAGAGATATGCTTAGCTACAAAAAATACCAGTCACATATCTTTGACCTAACAGATCCATTACTAGAAGTACCACATAAGTCCATGTTATGTTTTACTGTAGCTATCCACCTGCCAATATCTCCACATATATATGTGTCTATCTATCCATCTATCTATCTATCTATCTATCTATCTATCTATCTATCTATCTATCTATCTACCTATCTATCTATCTATCTATCTATCTATCTATCTATCTATCTATCTCTCTATCTATCTACTTACCATATCCTTACAGATTCACATCCAGGAACTCCACATACACATCTATCACTGCATCTACCCACCAGCCTCTCTCTACCCCTGATAGTACAGTACCAGTACAGACAACATAACATAACCAATATCATCAGAATAACTTTCTATCCACAGAGCACACAATCACCTAAGCATTCCATAATGCTAACCCACATTCACAGGCAATGCATTTGAAAGATTTGATATTGAACAGTCAGTTGTATGAGGATCTAGAAGGAGGGGAGAAGTCAATGAGGATGGCGATACTTACTGGATCCAATTAATTTCTGCAGCATCCTTGAACTTATACACAGCCCAGCAATGTTATTTTTGTTGCTTATATGAGGCTAGTGCGTCACTGGCAGAATTTTAATAAGTGGGAGAGATGCACCCCCCCCCCCCCCCCCCCCCCCCGCGGGGGGGCGGGTTTAGCAGTGTAGAGTGCTGTGGCTGTGGATAAGGGTGCAGTGTATGAATGGGATCCAGGCACAGACTCCTCCTCCATTACTATCCCCTATTAGAACATTAGGGACCAGTAGGAGACACAAGCTCCGGCAGCTCCCACACCGCACACTTCTATCGGGACAACAGTTGGGACTTTTGTCAGCTCTGAGTAGTCACCTTTGTCGGGACATTTGCTGAGCCAAGAACCGGGACCCAGTCTTAGCGGATCTGCCAAGTGAAGGGTCAGATGGGGTCCGATGTGCGGGACATGAACACCCTCCTACCTCCAGTCTCCTCTCTGGCCGGGAACAGCAGCTGCAGCGTGCCGGTGAACAGCAGCGCCCAGTGGGCCCCGGTGCTGGACTTTCCCCCGGGGAACCCGTACACCTCCCTCGCCCCTCACTCGTTCATCAAGCAGGAGCCTACCTGGAACCCGGACCTGCATGAGGAGCAATGCCTGAGCGCCTTCACCGTACACTTCTCTGGACAGTTCACCGGAACGGCGGGGGCATGCAGGTACGGAGCCTTCGGGGCGCCACCCCCCAGCCAAACCACCACGGGGCAGCCTCGGATGTTCCCCAATACCCCCTACCTGTCCAACTGCCTGGAGAACCAGCAGGGCATCAGGAACCAAGGTAGAGGCAATCACCAAATCCCATACAATACACCCAGAGAGGCTGTGTGGGAGTCACACACTATAATATATACATATATAAACATTTTGACATTTTAGTTGTTGGTAATTGTTGTCATTGCAATGTTACAAAACACATAGGCAATTCTTAAAATAGAATCTTATCAATAGTCACCATACTTTTTTGTTCTGTGAACATTACAATATACTAATTGTTACTGTTATTGAACACACACACAGTATGATGTAAACATATAAAAACATTTTGCTATTACAAAAATTAATGTCAAGTTAATTGCTGTTACTGTGCTATTACAAAACACACAGGTAGTTTCTTAGTCTAAGAGTTAGTGTCAAGCAAATTGTTGTTTCTGTAATATCACAAACCACAGGCAGTTCTCAATAGCTAATCTTAACAATAGTTAGTACACCTTTTACCTGTGAACATAACAATATACTATTACTTACAGGTTTTTTTTTGCATTGACTAATATGCTACACTAACTGTCATTTAAACAAGAAATTACTAATAAGCACAGAAAAAAAGTTGTTTTGTGCCTTAATCATTGATATTTAAATTTTGATTGCAACTACTGGAATGGTTAATTTGTGTATATATCTTTTAGGTTATTCACAAAAGGGTGAAGAGGTTGGAGAAGGCAGGAGAAGTGAACAATCTAGGACAACATAGCTGAATTGGAAAGTGATCTGAATTGGAGAATTTCTCCAAATCAGCTATTTTGTACTAGATTGTTCACTTCTGCCTTCTCCAAACTCTTCACCCTTTTGTGAATAACCCTGTAAACATTTGGAAGCTGGTTTAGTTTATAAAACAGAGTAAGGACTGATAATAGGCAGTAACTCAATGACTGTGTGTAGAGATGTTTCAGTGATATGTATGAAACGTGTTAATGTATGTTTCCTGATTTTGCTTGCTGGTGCAGTCATATGTCTTCTGTATGGAGGGTATGTCTGCTGGTGCTTGGGTCAGCTAACTTGTATGCAGAATTAAGGACCATGAGCTCTCACATAATCTTTATTAACTGGTTTATATATTATGGTTTAAACAACATTTATATTATTCACTTTTAATATGCAAATGTTTGAGAAAAATAAAAACAGATAATATTTAAAACTAAACAAGATGATATCTACATTGTAAAGAGCTTGTCCAGGAACTGCACAGACAGTCCCACTGATGTTATGTAGTTGCCTCCAAAGACTGCCAACAGAGCAACAGGCTGCACAGCAATTATATTTACATGTCAGCGGAGAGGGCTTTACATACCCAACTGTGACTGTAAACCTGTCCATGCACCGTACAATCTGATTGTACAGGCTCCTTAAGATTTGTAAGTAACATGACTAGTTATACATTGAATGGATTGCTAAGATAGAAGACCTTGTACTACATAGCTCAATCAGCTTCTCTCTTCAGTTTCTTCAGTTAAGCTTTGAAAATGAAAGGTGGATGCTGATTGGTTGCAATGCAAAGCTGCTCCACACTTTTGTCTGCTCCAGTTTTGATAAATTCCCCCCATGTGTACAATCAGATTGTAATGATTTGTTTATCTTTAATGCGAGTTGCTAATGAGGCTGATTCACTAGAGAATGTTTATATATCTTAGTGAATGTAGAGATGTTGTGTCCACTTAAATCTTATATTCAAGTAGAGCCATTTTTACCTTTACAGTTTTGGGTCCACAGATTGAACACCTTGCTAAGTGAACATTTTCTACCCCTACACGAAATCTCTCTCTCTCTCTCTCTCTCTCTCTCTCTCTCTCTCTCTCTCTCGTATATATATATTTTTTGTAGATAGATGATAAAAAATATGTGGATGATAGACAAATAGTTTTTTGGGGGTTATAATGCCCCTTTAAGTTCAAGTTCAAGAGGAAACAGTAATACAGTGCACATGAGGGGAGGTGGGGGTTGTAAAGAGGGCAGCATGATGAATTATAAGAAAGGGGATTACTGCTGGCTGGAGACCTCCTACATAATCCCAATACACACATATACAGTGTGATCGCACATACTGGTGTACTAACTAATGGGGTTTGTTGGGGCTGCTGTCTTACTAAAACCTGACACAAGAATATGTTAGCAGCCTATTCATTAGGACAGTATGAACAGTAGCATGGAGCAACCAGTTCAGAATGATCTCATACTGGTCTCTCTTCATTGAACTGGGATCAGGCTGCTAGGGGTTACTACAAGCCTTTCAGCATTGGACAAGCATAAGCATGGACTTATTTTGTATAATATGATACACATTGAGATGTACATACTGCCTCCTATTCGGGTTGAATTACAAAGGAGAGACTGTTTACTTAGCAAAGTAAACGTGCACTAAACTTTGTAAATAAGGTCCAGCTATGTTGTTTTCTGTTCTGTTGTTTTTTTTTTTTTTTTTTTTAATTCTCCTCTAATTTGTTTTGGGTGTTCAAAGTGAACACAAGTTCGCCTTATTTACTATCACATTCACTTTGCAAATGAACATCCATTTTGCTAAATGGACAGCCTCCATAACGTTAAGGAATTCATGAAAATGTGTATTTTCACTGACCTTAGTACATAAGGTGAAGCTGTGTTCACTGTAATATTTCAATCATCTGCCGGGTAAAATCATCCTTTTTAAGTTTCCCTCACACATTAATGGGTATTTAAGAGAAATCCAGGTTCAACTTATATGCCAACATTCACATTGCTAAGCTTTGAACGGCCTCTACATCTTAGTAAATAAACTCTATTCTAGGTTAGTATTTTGATACAAGATTACTGTTTTTAGGTTACTTTTAGCTGTAATTCCAATCCTTAATAAAATGTAATCCAATGTGTAGTACTGTAACTTTCTTATGTGAAACATGCTATCTATCTGTTTACCCAGATACAGTAGATGCAGGTAGTGTACATGTTGCTGAGTATTTTACCATCGTTTGTACAAGACTAGCTGTAATAATGGGGCATTAAAAAATCCTGGTTCCCTTAGATAATTTTAAGGCATTAACTGCAGTATTAAAGTATGCTAAAAAAATAAGATTATTTTTCTTTATAAAGGCATTTAAAACAGCCCATTAATATCTAATCTTGAAAAACAATTAAATTCGCCAACTTAAAAAATATGTCCTGTTAAACGCTGCAACAGCAGAAATGCAGCTTGTTAAAAAAATAAACATATGTGGTCAAATTTATTATAGTTGCTAGTGGCTTTTTTATTGTCAAAAGAATTGCCATTATCGTGCAGTTATTGTAAAAAATAAAATAAAAAGAGAGCAAAAGTAACATTGTAAACAGAGGAATAGACATTTATTAAATATAATACAAATATAATAATAAAATAGTTTGCTTCTGTATTATGTATTTTGCTTCTGTATCATGCTAACTGTATTTTACAATATAGATGACTGGGGTTAAATATAGTTGAATATCAGTATGGTAGTATATTTTTTTATAGTATAATATGATATATAAAATATGTGTGATAGTATAAAAAATAGGATACAATAAATAGTCCTATCTAAATAATTATAAAATTAAATATCGAAAAATGCAGTATTTATACAATATATAGAGCTTTTTATTATATTTAACAACTTTCTAGTATAGTGTACAATCTACTATTGGCATGCACGATTATCTATCTATCTATCTATCTATCTATCTATCTATCTATCTATCTATCTATCTATCTATTATTGGGCTATTTTAATAAAGGAATTGGGAATATTCACACAATTAATTGTATGAATATTCACTTCAATTATCCAATCAGGTACAGATGAAATAAGAAAACATGAATTTTCATTTCACGTGGGTGGACTAATAAAGTAATTATTTACACAATTTATTGTGTGAAGATCCTCAACTACTTTTGTAAATCAGCCTTAATACGTTTTCAATGATTGCTGCAGATATGCAGATATCTATATATAGATCTATATATAGATATATTAATTAGGTACCATATATTTGTTTCATATTAAAAATCTGCCATAATTTAGGTTTCAAAACATGAAACCTAAATTATGCCAACTTTTTTTTTTACTAATTCCTAAATATTTAATTCTCAGCCTGTAGTAGAAATCTTGGCAGCATCGCATAATGAAAACCCCAGTGCAATCAATGGAATTGGTGTAGCACGGTATCTCGTGACAATAATAATCTCATTTTACAAATATCTGGGAGTCGGAGCCCACAAATTCGTCCACACTGAGGCTGGACTGAGTCAAGGTTAAACCTTTCATTATTCTCTTTGGGCATCGTGGGAAAAGCGTTACCTTGCTGGTATAATATTCCCCATGTGCCAAGTAATGGAAAAGTCTCCATTAGACGTGTGCCCAGTTATTGCCTTGTCATGGGGGCAGCCACCCCTGTGTACAGACAGCTGTGGGCCATTCATGTTTTTCAACACGTCCTAATCAGCCCAGGCGGCGATAAGAAGCTAATTAAAGAGAACTTTCTATGAAAAGATCCCTTCAATGCTGCGAGTCTTATCGGTTTCCTAAAGCTTTGGGTCTAGCGGGACCTGGAACCGCAGCCAAGGCATGGCTCTGCTCCGAGGATGAGCTTGTCAAGGTCGCACATGAGAAGCATCATCTGGACAAAATGTATGAAGGATAAAGAAAGCCTATCGTGGACACTAACAAAGACCTTCCCGTATATCTTCTGCAGGGGAGTCATGTACAAAAACGGGGTGCACAAAGTACTGATTGATGTATCATTGCATTATTCTTTAAATATATTTATTTACTATAAGAATCTTTAATAAAATATAAATTAGTATACACTTCAATGATTCAATCATGTGAAAAGCAAATTCCTGTTCACTTTGAACACCCAATTAAATTATATTCACTATTCTATCTTCTATCTATTTTCTTTCTTTCTTTCTTTCTTTCTTTCTTTCTTTCTTTCTTTCTTTCTTTCTTTCTTTCTTTCTTTCTTTCTATCCTCCTATCTATTTATGATCTATCTGTCTATGTATTTATGTATGTATGT